GAGTAGCTGGGACTACAGGCATGTGCCACAATGCCTGGCTAATTTTTTCTTATAATTTTTAGTTGTCCAGTTAATTTCTATTTTTAGTAGAGACAGGTTCCGCCTCTTTCTCAGGCTGGTCTCAAACTCCTGAGCTCAAAGGATCCTCCCACCTCGGCTTCCAGAGTGCTAGGATTACAGGTGTGAGCACGGCACCCAGCTGACATCTTGTTTTAATGGCACGCCTCGGGAGGCTGAGGCAGGAGGATTGCTTGAGCCCAGGAGTTTGAGGTTGCTGTGAGCTAGGCTGATGCCACGGCACTCACTCTAGCCTGGGCAACTGAGTGAGAAGCCGGCTCAAAAAAAACAACTGTCAACCACAGTGCAATGTTGGATCATGCAAGGTCCTGGTTTCTTTTTTGTTTTTTAGAGACATGGGTCTCCCTATGATGTTAAGGCTGGGCTTAAACACTTGAGCTCAAGTCATCCTCCTACCTCAGCGTCCCAAATAGTAGCTGGAACTACAGGCATGTACCACTGTGTGTGGCTTTTTTTGCTCCTGGTTTCCTAAGAAAGGAAGTACTGCAGCAAAGCAGAAGCCAGTCTTGTTATTCTGCTACTTGCAAAGTAAATGTACAAACAAAGGTCCCTGCTTGACAGGCTTACAGTAAATATATTTCACCCAGATTAGCGCTTTAATCAACACAGTTACAGGTGCCCTGTGAAGCAAACACAAGATGAGAGGCAAGTCCTGGGGGAGTGCGAGGAGACACCTGGGAGCGTCGTGCTTACCTTGTTTGCACACTGCTTACACTGCTTCTCATCCAAGCAGTCGCCTGCCACCTTGGCCAGGACAGGATCCAGGGGGTTATCCTTCAGGTCTAGCCACTTCAGGTTCTAAAGAGATGGGCAAAGAGGCTGGCTAAGCCCGAGCTCACATATACAGTCCCTCAAGGTGGAACAAAACGAGCAGGGAAAAAGCTCCTCTGTGTTCCACCTACAGGGAAGGCCATCTAAGGCAGGACCAACAAGGAGGTATTCCTGTCAGCCTTTCTCATGGCCATGCTCCATCGATCCTCAAGGTCTTTGCCATACCTGGCCATGAAACACTGGTTTATGAATGGTTACCTTGAGTTGAGCAAAGCTGACAGGGAGGGTGACCAGCCTGTTCTTGAGAAGATCCAAGTGCTGGAGGTTTACCAGACGGCCAAAGTCTGCTGGCAGCTGCTGCAGCTTGTTCTTACTCAGGTCTAGCTTCACCAGGTGTGTGAGGCCACAGAAATCCGACTAGGACCCAAAGAGAGAACACTTAAACCTTGGGCTCACACATTTTGGTGTAACAGTTTGGGAGCCCCCAAGTCAGAGGTTCCTCTATACAAATCCTAACTTTTCCTTTACCAGCTCTTCAAATGAAAATGGAGAGAACGCCTGCCACTCCTGGTGCTGGTTACCGAGATGTGCACATACAAGGGCTTAGTACAGAGCAGGCACAAAGTACATGTGTATTCCTTCGTTCTCAGCTCTCCCTCCATCCTGTCCTTCACACTGCTCCTGGAGTGGTTAGGGACCCATTCTGTCCTCTTATGGTACCCTATGCTCACCTTCCATAAGATCTGTCAAAACAGTGTACCTGGCCTGGAGCAGTGGCTCACGCCCATAATCCTAGCACTCTGGGAGGCCGAGGTGGGCAGATTGCTCGAGGTCAGGAGTTCGAAACCAGCCTGAACAAGAGCTAGACCCCGTCTCCACTATAAATAGAAAGAAATTAATTGGCCAATTAATATATATATGGAAAAAATTAGCCAGGCATGGTGGCGCATGCCTGTAGTCCCAGCTACTCAGGAGGCTGAGGCAGCAGGATTGCTTGAGCCAAGGAGTTTGAGGTTGCTGTGAGCTAGGCTGATGCCATGACACTCACTCTTGCCTGGGCAACAAAGCGAGACTCTGTCTCAAAAACAAAACAAAACAAAAAAAACAGTGTGCCTATCCATTTTCGTAAAAAGATCAGGTGCTCTTTGAGTACTCATTCTTACTTTTTTGTTATTTGCAGCATCTAGCATGGTACTTAGCATAGGTGCTCCATGAGTGTTCTTGGGATAACTGACTGAAAGGGCTGGGGCCCATTCTACCCATATCCTGACTCTTCTTCAGCACAGGCCAAAGCATCTCCCTGACATTAAAGCTTTGCTAAGTGCCCATCTGAAAGTGATGGCACTAACTCAGCTAATGAGGCACTATTCATACTCTCTGGGGACTTGTAAACGCCAGTGGATCTGCACTGCAGAGTGAAATGAAAGTTGTTAGTACACACAACAGAACAAAGTCAGATTGAAAAGTGCACTTGGAGTGTGCCGAATGCCTTCCTGGCAAAGTGTACAGCAGGTGTGTAGCTGCAAGGAATTGCTACCTATGTTTAATTAAACACAAAATACTTCCTGGAAGAAGTGGGATGTCAGATGCTTTTTGAATGTTAGAAACAGTTTTTGATGAGCTGTGGGAAGATGCTATAGTATTCCCAGGAGAATACTGAAAAGGGAATGGACCAATGATCCAATGAAGAAACTGCCAACTTCTGGACTCAATCCCGGAGCCAGAGCCCAATCCCACTTCTTCCAGGAAGTATTTTGTGTCTAATTAAAGATAGTTAGTAATTCCTTGCAGCTGCACACCTGCTGTATACTTTGCCAGGAAGTTATTCAGCACACTCCAATAGGAAGCTACCCTAGAGTATAGCAAGGAGTGGCATGGCCAGAGCGATGGGTGGAAGAGGCAACAATGACAACTTCGGCGTGCCCATGCAGAAGCACTGCCGTGGAGGAGAGACCTGCTATTACTCAGGGAGCCTGAGGGGGTGAATGAATCCAGTGCCTATACAGTGCAAAAGGAGAACTAGGAGAACTGCGAGAAATCCAAAAGATCTGACCACAGATTGGATGTGCTGAACAAAAAAGCAGCAAATCTCTAGTCATTCAAGTCCTTGTTTGGGAAGGATGATAAGGTAGTCCCATTAAAATCACATTCTTCCTTGTCAAAGATGCCCAAGGAAGCTGTTCACAGCTTTCTCCCTGGAATGCAGAGCAACTTATAAAATGGTCTCTAGCTTCTTCTATGAAATAGGAAGATAAACTATTTTCATAGGAATAAAATAAGGCAGAAAAAAGATGAGCCTAGTAACTGACTCAGCCAACATCCTGTTGACTTTAGTTTTCTGTGGCCTGACTTTCCCACTGCTCTAAAGAATGAGGCCTCTAGCTCGATTCCCTTCCCACTGAGCCTAACCACCCTACTCCACCCCGCCCCCCAACACCACGCTCAGATTTAGCTGTAGCCTGCTCTAGGCCTATCTTGAAATTATGCCTTATGACATCCACCCACCCCCCACCCACCCCAGAAACAGGAAGGAGATGCATCCAGGGCTCCAGAAGGAGTCATGGCTGCTTGCCAATCTTACCGGTAGAGTACTCAGTTTATTGCAAGACAGATCCAGTATGGTGGCCTTTGGAAGGGCAGCCTAGGAAAGGGGATGAGAAAAACATGTCAAACCAACACCTGGCACAATTCAGTGACATCTGCTAATGAAGCATTTTCCAGAGAAAGTTCCCACAATTAGGAAAAGCCCTTAAAAAATGGCACCAAAGTATAATGTTCCTGAGGATAAGAGAAGAAAAGTGACTCAGTCAACCACGATATAGGGAAGAATGCAAAGATCAGGGGATTGGCCATGGAGCATCCAAGAAAGGAAAACTTGGCTTTTTAGAAATTCTTTCCTAGCACTTTCAAAATATTATCTAGCAATCCCCCTCCATTAGGTTCAGGGCAGGGACTGAGTCTTTATTTTGCAATTTCCATATTCCCCAGTTTAGGGCCTTTCTCAGACTCAATATACATACGTGTTGGCTGAATCATGAATGAATTATTGAGTGAATGCCAGAGTGAAAATGAGGCCCTCACAGCCCAACTCTATTTTCCAACGGTATCCAGGCCTTGAGAGGCTCAGCAAAACTGACCCTTCTTTCTCCCTAGGGGCAATGCTGTGCTGACCAGATGCCTGGAGTAAATGGTTTCAGACACCAGTCCTACAGCCAGGCTGAAACAAGGCTGGCCATCTTCCAGGGCTGGGAAAGCAGACAAACATTCAGCAAAGAGTCCTACGCCAACCTGCACTTTCTGTCAGAAAGTCTTAAGAGTGAACTCTGACCACCTAAAAAAAGTTTTGGATACAGCCATGGAAAGAATGTCATGATAACAGCAACATGTGTCAGCATTTGCTACCTTCCAAGCATTTTATGTTACAATTTTATTTAATCTCATGCTAAGTGTTAAGATAAGGAAAGTATTATGACTGTTTTATAAATGAGGAAATCTAAGAATAAAGGCTAACTAGCTTGCCAAGGGCACTCATCTATTAAGCAATAGAGCTGGGAGGAGCTGGGAACCCCATTCTAACCACTCTACTATACGTTCACAGTGGAGGGAAGGTGAGACCAAATGTAATTTGTCAAAGGCAATAAGCAAAGTGTGCATCATCCAATGTGAAGATAGTGTGTGGGTTGGGGAACACAGTGGGAAAAGCAGGATTGTGGGACCTAGCTCCACGTTGACAACAAACTAGATGTGTAATCTCCCTGGAGCCTCATGCCTCAGTTTAACTGGGGTGGGGGCCCATCAGTAGCATCGCGGGATTCCTGCCAGTTTCAGTGGAATTGGGACCAGACCTTGCAAACCAAGCCAGGAGACTTTAGTCTCTCCAAGGAAGGCCGCCTCAGGGCTGGGGCTGCCAGCTGAGATTGCTGGCTTCCTAGAAAAGCCCAGTTCTGGGCCACACCCAAGTCTACCAGGAGGCCTACTCCCGGACCGAGTCATTCATTCTCGTATGCATCCACCAACCGCTCCGTGGGCTCCTACTCTGGCTTAGGCATGGAGCAGGGCGCTGTGAAAGCCCCCAAAACGAGGCAGATTCGCTTTTTGGCCTGTAAACAGGCCAGGGCCGGACAAGCAGATCTTCCCTGTCTTCTGGAACTGCGCCAAAGTGACACGTGTACATCCCGGGAAGAACCCTGGGGCTAGACGCGGCCTCCCTGGAGACTTAGGTCCATCCGACCGTCCTTCGTTTTAAAGACGGGGAAACTGATGCTTGGGAAAAGTGGCCCACGTAGAGACCAGCGCCAGGCGCAGGTGGGCGCCCGGGCCTGGTGGGACTGTACTGACCAGCTCCTTGACGGGGACCTCATTCAAGTCGCTGAGGCTCAGGTCCAGTTCGTTGCCGTCCAGCTTGTCGCGGAGGTTCCCGCCCTTGCTACCGGCCTTGGTCATGGTGACGCCGGCTGAGCGGGCCCCGGCTCCGGGGTTCCGACGGGCAGGGAAAGGAGCTAAAAAAGCCGCTTGTCGGTTCAGCGTACTCTCACCCAACCGACAGTGCCTGCGCTCTCCGCCGTAGCCGGTGCGAGACCGCCGCCGCCCGTCCGCCCGCTGGCCGCACTCGGAGCCCCGCGCCTCGCTCCCACCGGTGCCGCCGCGACGACGACCACTTCCGTGTCCACGTCACCTTCCGCAGCCACTGAGATGGGCTGGGCCAGAGCGACCCGAGCGTGTTCGGGAGCGCCTCCTAGCGCCCAGGACGGTGCACTGCGCGACACCGCCACAGCCAGAGGCGCGGGGTGGAAGGCTCTGAACTCTGTTCCCCAGTGACCCTGGGCGCACATCCGCTGCATCGTAGCTAGCAGCGCCAGGAGGCGAAAGGGCACCTACTGGACGCCAGAAAACCTGGGTTCACATCGAAAACTGACCTCGTCAGATCACTCCCATCACCCTGGATTAGGAGCCGAAGCTGGGTGTCCTCAAATATTGCTTCCTGTCGTCTAATCACCACCAAATCACCGTCATCCGGAAAACTCGACTTTCTGAATTTCCCTTCTTGCCTCTTCACTGTTTCAGCGGTTATCTCTCTCGTTCCCATCCACCTTCACCCAGCTCCCCCGTGATCTTCCTAAAAAAAAGTCTGGCCAAGTCTCTCCTCTGCTTAAAACTCTTCAAACCTCTAGCTACCTCTAGAATATGGACCACTCTCCTCTCTAGGCTGGGTCCTGCCTGCTTCTGCAGCATCCTCACCTGCTGCAGCCCTAGCCTGGACTGGATGCTGTGTAGACTTCCAGTAGGTAGCTCCACGCCTTGCCGTCTCCTGTAATGGCCCTGCCCTTCCCACTCACTTTCTCTACCTACCTAATTCCTGGTCCTTCAGGAAATTTCTCTTGACCATTGTGATCACCTGGCTGAGTTAGGGGTCCGTCCTTAGGGCTCTGGCAATGTCCTGTGTGCCACCTGTTATCAGAGATGGTGGAGCTTCATGGTTAACTGGGACCTCTGGCATTACACCAACTGGGTGTTAATTCTGGCTCTGCCACTTGCTCCTTATTAAACCTTAGACAAGGCCGGGCGCTGTGGCTCACGCCTGTAATCCTAGCTCTCTGGGAGGCCAAGGCGGGCAGATTGCTCCAGGTCAGGAGTTTGAAACCAGCCTGAGCAACAGCAAGACCCTGTCTCTACTATAAATAGAAAGAAGTCAATTGGCTAACTAATATATATAGAAAAAAAATTATCCGGGCATGATGGCACATGCCTGTAGTCCCAGCTACTTGGGAGGCTGAGGCAGTAGCATTACTTGAGCCCAGGAGTTTGAAGTTGCTGTGAGCTAGGCTGACGCCATGGCACTCACTGTAGCCTGGGCAACAAAGTGAGACCCTGTCTCAAAAAAAAAATCATCTTAAAATGCATAAACAAGGATATGATGACAATTTTATTTTTTAAATAAATATTTTTAAGAAAAAATGCATATAGAGGGAAATATCAAGTTCATATGGAAAGATAGATATACAAAAATTGCCATGAACACTTCATGAAATAAAGAAATAGCAAGAAGTGTTCTGCCATGCCAGGTATTAGGTCTTATAATGAAAGTCAAAACAGTATGGCATTGTCATAGGCAGGTAGATCAATGGAACAAAATAGACTGAAAAGAGATACAAACATATATAAGCCTTTAATATATAATTAAGATTGTATTTAAAGTCAAGCCAATCAAAAGAGGAGTGGTTAAATAAATTAGGATGTATTTATACAATGAAACGTTAAGCAGCTGTTAAAGAGAATGAGTAGGAACTATATGTGTTCACCTGGAAAAAAATGTCTGTTGCATATGGCTAAGTAAAAAAACCGTAAGTCATGATGGCCGGGCGCGGTGGCTCACGCCTGTAATCCTAGCACTCAGGGAGGCCGAGGCGGGCGGATCCTTTGAGCTCAGGAGTTCGAGACCAGACTGAGCAAGAGCGAGACCTGTCTCTACCAAAAATAGAAGTTAATTGGCCAGCTAAAAATATACAGAAAAAATTAGCCAGGCATGGTGGCACATGCCTGTAGTCCCAGCTACTCGGGAGACTGAGGCAGCAGGATCACATGAGCCCAGGAGTTTGAGGTTGCTGTGAGCTAGGCTGACGCCACGGCACTCTAGTCTGGGCAACAAAGTGAGACTCTGTCTCAAAAAATAAACAAATAAAATGCAAGTCACTGAATAAGATGCATGGCATGATCTCGTTTTGTTTTTAAATTTCATCTTGACATTATTTCAAATTTACAGAAAAGTTGCAAGAATAGAAGGAAGAATTCCTGGATATTCTGGATTTTCCATTTTACTACAGTTGCTTTTAACCTTCTCTCTCTCCCTCTTTCTCTCTGTCTCTCCCTACATAAACACACACACACATATTTCTGAACTGTTTAAGAGTATGCTTACAGAAATGATACCCCTTCTTTTTTTTTAATCAAAGCAAGCTGGAGTCCATGATGCCCCTTTATCCCTAAATATATTGAAGTGTTTTTCCCAAGTATTAATACAAGGAAATTTCTTATATAACTACAGGACAATTATAAAAGCCAACAAATTACAACTGATCAATACAACTATCTAATCTATGGACTTTATTCTGATTTCATTGAATGTCCAACATAATCTCATGTTTTGGTAAAAATATCTAAAGGAGATAGAGAAAGACATAAATGTGTCTACATATTTGTATGAGTCTAGGAAAAGGTATAGATGAACGTCCACAATTTTAACCTTGTTTACCTTAAAGATTTATTGCAACGAAACTTATTACTTTTTTTTTTTTTTTTTTTTTTGAGACAGAGTCTCACTTTATTGCCCAGGCTAGAGTGAGTGCCGTGGCATCAGCCTAGCTCACAGCAACCTCAATCTCCTGGGCTCAAGCAATCCTACTGCCTCAGCCTCCCGGTAGCTGGGACTACAGGCATGTGCCACCATGCCCGGCTAATTTTTTCTATATATATTAGTTGGCCAATTAATTTCTTTCTATTTATAGTAGAGACGGGGTCTTGCTGTTGCTCAGGCTGGTTTCGAACTCCTGACCTAGAGCAATCCGCCTGCCTCGCCCTCCCAGAGTGCTAGGATTACAGGCGTGAGCCACTCCGCCTGGCCCCTTTTTACATTTATATCGCCAAGAAATGTACAGTAGGCACTCTGTGAATGTTATTTCTTTGCCACTTATTCTACTCAAGTCGCCCAAGGTGTATTGAGTACCTACCATATATACCACGCACTAGCCAAGGGCTTGCTAGGAGTAAAACCCATAATCATTATATTAATAACATGGGCACTGCCTATCTTACTCATAAGGCCATGCCTTATTTTTCTGTACCCCCAAATAAATACTCTTTGCTCCCATAACAAAACCGCTAGAAATTTCCAGAACTTATATGCTCTCTTCCTTCACGTACACTTTCCCCTTACACTCACAACATCCCATTGGCTGTCCATGGTTACCCCTGAAAATCCTGTCTGTGGTGGGCTACAGGATGGCTCCCAAAGATACCCACATCCTAATCCATGGAAACTGTGAGTGCTACTTTATATGGCAAAAAAGACTTTTCAGATGTGATTAAATTAAGGATTTTGAGATGGAGCTACTATCCTGGATTATCCAAGTGATCCCTAAATATGGTCACAAGCTTCTTTATAAGAAAGGCAGAGGTTAGCTGGGTGTGGTGGTACGCACCCATAATCCCAGCTATTTGGGAGGCTGGGGTGGGAAGATCGCTTGAACCCAGGAGTTTGAGGTTACAGAGACCTGAGATTGTATCACTACACTCCAGTCTGGGCAACAAAGCAAAACTCTGTCTCCAAAAAAAAAGAAAAAGAAAAAAAGGCACAGGGAGATAAGACAAAGAAGAGGAGGCAATGTGGCAATGTGGCAATGTGACCAGAGACCACAGAAGCAGAGATTAGAATAGTCATGTAGCTACACAAGCCAAAGAACACCTGGAGCTACCAGAAGCTGGAAGGGACAAGAAATGGATTCTCCTCCGGTGCCTCTCAAAGGGACCAGCTCTGCTAACACCTTGATTTTAGTCCTGTAAGACTCACTTCAGACTTCTGGTCTCCAGAATTGTAAGAAAATAAATTTCTGTTGTTTTAAGCCACTAAATAAATATGTGCAACTTGTTCCCACAGCAATAGGAAACTAACACGCTGCTCATTTCTCAGAACTCAGATCAAACCTCCAGGAGAGCTTCCGCGACATGCCCAGGGCAGGTGCCTCTCCCCGTCCCCCTTCATACAGCACTGTCCACACCGTAGGCCATCATCAGTCTCAGGGTTGGTGTTCCTTGACTGTGAGCCCCCATTCATATCTCATTCATATCTCCAGCTGCAGGGTCCAGCATAACGCCTGTCACCACGTGGGGACTCGTGAATGTCTGTTGAACCAATGAACGACTATAGGAAGGTATTGGTCTGATAACACCGGGTTTTTATCCAAGACATCACAGTTGACTTTAGCTCTCGACTTTGACCTAAGAAAAGTAAAATATTACACAATCCAAAGAAAGATTTTTGTGTCCCTTCCTCTTTACAAAAGCAAGGCTTTCACAACGTTTGGCAATTGCTGGGATTACGGCTTATTTAGTTTTTCAATTTCGGACTGTCAGCAAGAGAACACTGATCATTTAAGATCACATCTGCCTGTGTCTGCCATCAACTGTGATCAAGATAATTTTAGTCTACACAGTAGTTCAGAGCAAGTTCCTTATTTTCATTTTGTTTGAAAACCAGAAACATTTATTTTTAGAACAATTTTTATTAGCCTTGTTTTTTGGTTTTGGGTGTTTTTCATTTTTTTTTTTTTTTTTTTAGACAGAGTCTGTTGCCCAGGCTAGAGTGAGTGCCGTGGCGTCAGCCTAGCTCACAGCAACCTCAAACTCCTGGGCTCAAGCAATCCTCCTGCCTCAGCCTCCCAAGTAGCTGGGACTACAGGCATTCGCCACCATGCCCGGCTAATTTTTTGTATATATGTTAGTTGGCCAATTAATTTCTTTCTATTTATAGTAGAGACAGGGTCTCGCTCTTGCTCAGGCTGGTTTCTAACTCCTGACCTTGAGCAATCCGCCCGCCTAGGCCTCCCAGAGAGCTAGGATTACAGGCGTGAGCCACCGCCACTGCGCCCGGCCGTTTTTCATTTTTGTTGTTTGTTTTTGTTTTGTTTTGTTTTGTT